TGTTAAAGATCCTATGGCACTATTCGAGAAGAGATGGCATTTTATCCTAGTTTTGTAGACTGATAACCCCCAAATAACATTGGACATTCTTGCTGTTTGTGCAACACTGCTCTGCACAAATTGGCTGCCGCGTTTGCCTACTCTAAGCCATGATAAGCACTTTGAGACATCTCCTGACAGGAAAGGTGCAAATATATTATTATATCAAATGGAAATGTCTCTTGGTGTTCTGGCCAATAGTGATCCAGATAAAACTGGCCATTTATTTCTGAGTTGGTTTGTGGGACATTAATGTGGGCAGATGGGTTGCTGCATTTCCCAACAAACGCACAGTCACTGCACTTTACAATAAATCCTGTGAAGCACTTTACGACATCCTCCTGACACAAATGCCCTGATAATTACAAGTAATATTATACTTGAACGGAGGCTCTCTTGATTGGCTCCCATCAGCACCTCCTCACCTCAGGTGCTGACAGCATCACCGTCCATGGTTGCACACTCCACCTTGCTAAGCCAGTCCGGATCCTTGGGGTCTTGTTTGACCCTCAACTATACTTTCTACCCCACATTTGTGCCATGACTCGCTCTGCCTTCCCCCACCTCCACAACATCGCCCGGCTCCGACACCGTCTCACACCGCAGGCCACTGAAACCCTCAATATCCGCCCTCATTACAGCGAGGCTTAACTATGCAAACTCCTTGCTTGTTGACCTCAACTCCTCTCACCACAGGCTGCAGATCATCCAGAACTCTGCAGCCCGTGTCCTCTCCCGCACCGGGCTCCGTGACCCTATCACCTCCATCCTCGCCCGACTCCACTGGCTTCCTATCACACAGAGGATACAGATCAAGATCCTAGTCCTCACCTTCAGAGCCCTCCATGGCCTCGCTGTCCCCCACCTCTCCGACCTCCTAACCCCCTACCACCCTGTTCCCTCCCTCCGCTCAGTGGGCTTCACGTCCCGCGCCCGCCCGCCCGCCCCACTGCCCCGACCCTCTGGAACTCCATCCCACAGTCCCTCCCCCTCGGCCCCTCCCTCGCCACCTTCAAGACCCATCTCAAGACCCTCCTCTTTGGCCGTGCTTTCCATCTCCCTGCATCCCCCCCCCCCACCCTGACTCCCAGTCTGGCGCCTTGGGACGGCGTCCCACCGCTACACAGGCGCTGTAATGTTGTTGTTGTTGTTCGCCATTTTGTTTCCGGGTCGCAAACCTTGTCACAACCGGGGACGACCGCGCAGGCGCTCTCTGAGCCAAATCGCCGACCAATCATACCAGAAGCAGTCGCGCGTGCGCGGTGCCGGCACCCTTCGACCCCCCCCTCCCCCCCCCCGCGAGCGCGGTGCGCGTGCGTGGTGCGCGGCCGCGGGTTAGTCGGTCAGGGGATGGGCGCGAGACTTGGCCGTTTGTCTTCGGTTCCAGAAGCTCGAGTCGCGAGGAGCGGCCGCGTCATCAGGGCCGCCTGTCGGTTAGTAATGGCGGTCTGAGCCCAACTGCCGCCAGCGCTCACCGCTCCAGGTGAGGCACCGAGCGCCGAGCAGCCCTGGCCCTGCCCGGCCCGGCCCGGCCGGACACTCGCATCGGCTGAGAGACACCCGAGGCCACCGCCCCGCACAGCGAGCGGCGGCGAAACAGAATGGTTCACGGCGCAGTGGGCCGGGTGACAGGGGGCCGGGTGTCAGGGGGCCGGGTGTCAGGGGGCCGGGTGACAGGGGGCCGGGTGTCAGGGGGCCGGGTGTCAGGGGGCCGGGTGTCAGGGGGCCGGGTGACAGAGAAAGCGGACCGCGGGGCAGGGGGGCCGCGGGCGGCTCTGGTAACATCGGCGGCACCGAACAGAACAAGCGGCCATGTAGCGGGATGGGTCTGGAGGGGGCAAGTCAGAGTGGGCCACCCACTGCAGGGGGAGGTACATAGCCAGTACAGGGGGAGGGAGATAGCCGGTACAACAACAACAACAACAAGATTCCATTTATAGAGCGCCTTTCAGGTCGGGAGGACGTCCCAAGGCGCTGTACAGTTGGGTCAGGACCCGAGCAGGGGAGACATGGTCAGGGTGAGGGGAGGGAAGGGAGGCGGCGAGGAGGGGGTAGAGAGTCGAGAGGGGAGCTGAAGGCTCGGTCAAAGAGAAAGGTCTTGAGACCGGCCTTGAAGGAGGAGAGGGAGGAGGCGGCGAAGGCACTGGGGGATGGAGTTCCAGAGCCTCGGGGCTGAGAGGCTGAAGGCCCGACCACTGATGGTAGGGCGGTTGGGGCGGGGGACGTGGAGCAGACCGGAGCCAGAGGAACGGAGGGTACGGGCAGGTAAGTAGGGGGATAGTAGGTCAGAGAGGTAGGAGGGAGCAAGGCCGTGAATGGCCTTGTAGGTGAGGATGAGGATCTTGAAATCAATCCTCTGGGGGATGGGAAGCCAGTGGAGGCGAGCGAGGGTGGGAGTGATGTGGTCCCGAAGCCTGGTGCAGGACAGTACACGAGCTGCAGAGTTCTGAATGACCTGCAGCTTGTGGAGGGAGGTGGCGGGAAGGCCGGCGAGGAGAGAGTTCCCATAGTCCAGCCTTGAGGTGATAAAGGCGTGAACCAGGGTTTCAGCAGCGTGAGGGGTGAGGTAGTGCCGTAGTCTGGCGATGTTCCGGAGGTGATGGAAGGCGGTGCCCGTTGTGGTGCGGATATGAGGGAGAAAGGACAGCTCAGGGCCGAACAGAACCCCGAGGTTCCTGATGGCTTTGAGAGGTGGAGAGTGCAGCCTTGGATGCTGATGGTGTCGGCGCCTGAGGTGCGGAGGCGCTGACGTGAGCCAATCAGGAGGGCCTCGGTTTTGCGCACGTTGAGCTGAAGAAAGTTGTCTCTCGTCCAGGACTCGATGTCGGACAGGCAGGCTGTCAGGACATCGGTGGTCGTGGAGTTGAGGGTAGAGGAGGAAAGGTAGAGTTGGGTGTCATCCGCATACATGTGGAAGTTAACTCCATGTCTGCGGATGATGTCACCGAGGGGGAGCATATAGAGGGTGAAGAGGAGGGGACCGAGGACAGAGCCTTGAGGGACACCGCACGAGACAGTGCGGGGGCCGGAGGAAAAACCATTTGTGGAGACAAAGTGAAGACGTTGGGAGAGGTACGACCTAAACCACTCAAGGACAGGGCCTTGAAGGTTGAGGTGGGAGGACAAGCGGTGGAGTAGGATAGCGTGGTCGACCGTATCGAATGCTGCCGATAGGTCGAGGAGGACGAGGAGGCAGAGGGAGCCCTGGTCACAGATGGTCAGGATGTCATTGGTGACCTTGACCAGGGCAGTTTCTGTGCTATGGGCAGCACGGAAACCCGACTGAAGGGGTTCAAATAGTGAATGGTTGGAGAGGAAAGAGCGCAGCTGGGAGGCGACAATTCTTTCCAGGACCTTGGACAGGAAGGGGAGGTTGGAGATGGGCCGGTAGCTTGATAGCTGCGACGCATCAAGGGAGGGTTTTTTTAAGGTGGGAGTGATGGTGGCAGTTTTTAAGGGAATGGGAATAGAGCCAGAGGAGAGGGACAGGTTGACGATGTCTGTGATATGTGGGGCAAGGAGGTGGAGCTGGGAGATAAGGAGTGGAGTGGGGATGGGGTCAAGGGAGCAGGTGGTAGGTTTAAGGGATAGGATGAGTTTGGTGACAGAGGGTGGGGAAACGGGTACGAAGGTGTGTAGGGGAGGATGGGTAGGAGTCGGAGTGTGGGAGGGAAAGGGTGGGTGGTGGGTGGATGTTGGAGGGGAAGTGACCGCGGAGCGAATTCCCTTGATCTTGGATTCAAGGAAATCCAGCATCTCCTCGCAGTGAAGGTTGGAGGAGATGACCTGCGCGGGGTGGCGGGGGGGACGGAGGAGTTGGGATGTGGTAGAGAACAGTAGCCTGGGGTTGTCCTTCGCCTCCAGGATTATCCTGGAGTAGAAGGACGATTTGGCCGAGGCTAGAGTGGAGCGGTAGATTTTGAGGAGGTCCAGCCAGATTTGTCTGTGGACCGTTAGGCCAGATTTGATCCAGGTGCGTTCAGCGGCCCGCACCTGGCTCTTCAGTGAGTGGAGGTGGGTGGTGAACCAGGGGGAGGAGCGAGCGTACAGTACAGGTGGGAGGTAGATAGCCGGTACAGAGGGGAGGGAGATAGCCAGTACAGTGGGGGGGAGATAGCCAGTACAGTGGGGAGGGAGATAGCCGGTACAGAGGGGAGGGAGATAGCCAGTACAGTGGGGAGGGAGATAGCCAGTACAGTGGGGAGGGAGATAGCCAGTACAGTGGGGAGGGAGATAGCCAGTATGGGGGGGGGGAGATAGCCAGTACAGTGGGGAGGGAGATAGCCAGTACAGGGGGGGGGAGATAGCCAGTACAGGGGGGAGGGAGATAGCCAGTACAGTGGGAGGGAGATAGCCAGTACAGTGGGAGGGAGATAGCCAGTACAGGGGGGGGGGAGGGGAGGGAGATAGCCAGTACAGGGGGAGGGAGATAGCCAGTACAGGGGGAGGGAGATAGCCAGTACAGGGGGGAGGGAGATAGCCAGTACAGGGGGAGGGAGATAGCCAGTACAGGGGGAGGGAGATAGCCAGTACAAGGGGGGAGGGAGATAGCCAGTACAGGGGGAGGGAGATAGCCAGTACAGGGGGAGGGAGATAGCCAGTACAGGGGGAGGGAGATAGCCAGTACAGGGGGAGGGAGATAGCCAGTACAGGGGGAGGGAGATAGCCAGTACAGTGGGGGGGAGATAGCCAGTACAAGGGGGAGGGAGATAGCCAGTACAGGGGGAGGGAGATAGCCAGTACAAGGGGGAGGGAGATAGCCAGTACAGGGGGGAGGTAGATAGCCGGTACAGAGGGGAGGGAGATAGCCAGTACAGGGGGAGGGAGATAGCCAGTACAGGGGGAGGGAGATAGCCAGTACAGGGGGAGGGAGATAGCCGGTACAGGGGAGGGAGATAGCCAGTACAGGGGGGGGGGGAGATAGCCAGTACAGGGGGGTGGGGGGGGAGAGGAGATAGCCAGTATGGGGGGAGGGAGGTAGCCAGTACAGGTGGAGGGAGATAGCTCGTACAGGGGGAGGAGGTAGATAGCCAGTATGGGGGGAGGGAGTTTGCCAGTAGGTGGAGGGAGATAGCCAGTACAGGGGGGGGGGGGGTGGGGGGGAGATAGCCAGTATGGGGGGAGGGAGATAGCCAGTATGGGGGGAGGGAGATAGCCAGTATGGGGGGAGGGAGATGGCCAGTACAGGGGGGAGGGAGATAGCCAGTACATGGGGGGGGGGGGGGGAAGATAGCCAGTAGGTGGAGGGAGATAGCCAGTATGGGGGGAGGGAGATAGCCAGTACAGGGGAGGGGGGGGGGAGATAGCCAGTATGGGGGGAGGGAGATAGCCAGTATGGGGGGAGGGAGATAGCCAGTAGGTGGAGGGAGATAGCCAGTACAGGGAAGGGGGGGGGGGGAGATAGCCAGTAGGTGGAGGAGATAGCTAGTATGGCAGAGAGGTAGATAGCTTGTATAGGGGTGAGGTAGTTTTTATAGGGTACATCAGGGAGAGAGTAGCTTGGAGTGTGGCATATTCTGGCAGCATTGTGTCAGAATCAGCATTGTGTCATTCTTTCAGGAGGGAGGAAAGGTGTATGGGAGGGACTGAAGTTGCCAACTCCCAGATAGCAGCAAAAGACTCACGAGGTACTCCCAGCACAGCCATTAAGGGTATGCACAAGGCCATTATTGTTCAGAAGTCTTGATGCATACTTCAACCTCCTGAGGTTTTCTTCAATTTAATGTAACAGTGGGCAATAAAGACAAACTTTTTTTTAGGACAAAAGGCAGCTTCTCTAGTTGTAGGCCTCTCTGATTATACCCTTCGCAACCGTCAACTCATACAGAACTGCAGCTTTGATTCAGCTTCATACAAGGTCACATACTCCCATCAGCTGTCTGTGTTGAACTTCTCTAGCTCTGTCTCACAACATATTAATTTCAAGATTAGAATTCACATCCCTCGTCTCCATCTGTGGTTGGGTCTTCAGCCTTTCTATCCCCACCCTCTGGAACTCCATCCCGGAGCCCATCTGCCCTGCACCTTTCCATACCTCCTTCCAGGTCTGTCTCAAAATAATAAAAATAATAATCCTTGCATTTGATATTGTGCCTCATCACGTCTCAAATCGCTTCACAACTATATTCTTATGCTTTGACTGTGCCTTTGGTCATCTCCCCCCCACGTAGTTCGCCACTCCTCTTGATTCCAACCTCCAGCTCGGGTGCAAACCGTCAACTGTCCCAATGTAAAAGGCGCTATATAAATGCAATTTGTTGTTGCAGCTGGAAATGTTTGTATTTCAAATGTATACAATTTGCAACAGATTATAATTGATGTTAAACCTCTAAAATGTGCCATGGTACACTACTAGTTGGCAAATGTTTCCAAAGATTTTAATGGTATGTCTTGTCTCCCAACCATTGTACCATATTATTCATATAAAGTTTATTGCCTGAATGCAAGCCTTGATCACAATTGTGAAGTTTGATGTCTTTTTTTTCTGTATTGCAGGAGCTATACAAAATAAAGGAAGATGGTAAGCAATCAAGTTGTACTGGAGTCAAAGGCAGCCCCTAAAACCCTGTTGGATGAGATGCACAAACTTCGCATTTTGTGCTACTTCTGTGATGTAACTGTGCAGATAGAACACCAGGGAAGCAAAGAGGAATTTGTCGCCCACAAAGCTGTGTTAGCTGCAGCCAGCAGTTACTTTAAGGAGCTTTTCCTTAATGAAATGGTGAACACTAAGATTACTATTGTTACTTTACGTGACATATATACAGCAGACTTTGCCTCTTTTCTGGATTTTGTTTACACTGCAAAAGTGGAGGTTGAGGCTGAACGGGTACAAAGATTACAGGAGATTGCTGAGAAATTGAAATGCAGGGAACTAGTAGAAGTCTGTAGTCAGGTAAAATCACAAATACTTGAGTCAGCTCTGATGGACTTGGGCAACTTGGCGGAATCCCATGGAACAGAAGGAATGAAAGGAACAAAACAGGATGGCGACACTGTTCCAGGTTCTTTTCAGAACACAGGAATTGTTTCAGGAGAACACAATCACAAAATCTCTGGCCAGATTATTTCAGATGAAGAGAAAGTTTATGAGGCATCTTTTAAAGAGCCAGCGACTACCAGAACTAAGGGATGGGAAAAGTCAGAAAAGGAAAAGAAATTAGCAAAACCTTTAAATATAAAGACTAAACGTGCCAGTGGAAGGCAAGTTGGGCGCAAAGTCTTTTTAGAGATTCCCAAAAAGAAATATACACGTAGGCTTCGAGAACAAGCAAAGGTTGATGAAGATTTGAAGGAGGAATCTGGAAAGCTGTCCTCTACAGAAGATAAAAAACAAGAAGCCAAAGATCAAGTCAAGAAAGACAGTGAAAAGCCAGATGAAGATGAGACTATGGAGGAGGAAGATGAAGATGAGAGTGACGATAGTGGTTTTAAATTGGTTGAAGACACTAAAAAGACCCCGGATGAGAATGAAAAGAAGAAACGAGTCAGAAATTTTCAGTGTGATAAATGTCAGAAAGGTTTCCAATATGAAAAGAGCTTCTTAAAACATATAGAAAAGAGCCATGGTATTATACCTGAAATTATTTACTGCTGCGAGATCTGCAACCAGACATTTGCTAATCGTTGCAATCTAAAAAGCCACCAAATGCATGTTCATAGTGAAGAGCTTCGTTTCCCATGTACGCTCTGTGGTAAAAGGTTTAAGAGGAAAAAGTATGTGAAGCGGCATAATCTTAAGGTTCATGAGGGTGGAGAGCGTCATTTATGCTTGCAGTGTGGTAAAGGACTAAGTTCCAAAACTGCCTTGAGGGTCCATGAAAGGATACACACCGGCGACAAACCCTATGAGTGCACTGAATGCCATGCCAAGTTTTCTCAGCCATCTGCACTGAAGGTGCATTTGAGGTACTAAAGTACAGTAAACAATTGTATTATCTTAGTTTGTGTAAAAACCATATATTCAATACTATACAGTTCTTATTAATCTTTCTCACTGTAGTATAATCCGACTTGTTTTGAATTACAGTATGAGTAGAACACACTATTTATCCATATGTCTATTCCAAATTGGATATTGTGCTTATGTTTGAAGTACATGCAAGATTTCTAGAACTACTTTGATACACCCCCCCTCCACCATTTTAAAAACATATAAGTAAAAATGCAAGGATTTTATACACTTTCTTTGAAAGATACTCAATAAAGCTTTGTAAATATTTAAGTGAGTAAATGTAACATTTTGTCTTCTGAGTAACCCCAAGTAAAAGTTGTGCAGGTTTTATCTGGATTTTGAATTAACTGATCTTAGCTGAGGTGCCACTGACGATACACAATAGTTCTCAGCATCCCTGTATAAAATTGCCAGTGTTTCTACTTATTGGCACTATTTAGTGACCAAGTAATGGAAAGTGCACCAAATGAGAACAAAATTATGTTTGCCTATTCACCTCTCCATAATTGAATTGCTATTGAATCTTTACAGAATAGCATCTGCTGTGAGGTATTGTGAGATGCCAATTGCATGGGGAATTATGAGTCCAGGCCTTTCGGAGAGATCAACAGAGAATTTCAAGAGGAAAAAATGAGACTAGTTTAAAAATTTACATTGACGCAGAATCTGTGGTTGCAGAGTAATATGCTCCTTATCAAAAGAGCTGTGCTTTCTGTTTGGACACATACATTTAACAGATCTGATTTTACGTAAATAGTAGTAACAATTTGTCGCAAATTGGGAGAGATTTCCTCCATCTTTATCACCATGTGGGCACACATTTGTACATTTGATTTCTGCATTTCCTAGGCAATATCAGTTGCCTGAAACTATGCAACGTTGTAGTTGTAGTTTTAAGAGACTCTTTTAAAAGTCTTTTAAGAATTAGCTACAACTATACAGTAGTTGCTGACTGTCCAAGGTTTAAGAGGCAACTTCAAACTACTGTCTAGTATACAATGCTAATGCAGAATGAGAAATCTTATTGTAACTGATCCTGTAATGTAATATATAATAATCTTTGCATTTGATATAGCCCCTTATCACGTCTTTGAAACATCTCAAAGAGGTCCACTGTAAAGTGTAATGACTGAGTTTTGTGGGAAAATGTGTGTGTGAGAGAGAGAAACACACACATCAAGGGAGTCACATACAATAACAACGTACATAGACAGAGAGAGAATGTAATAATAATAATCCTTGCATTTGATATAGTGCCTTATCACATCTTCCAAGACTTCTCAGAGGCCTTCACAGGATATACTGTGAAGTGTAGTGACAGTGTGTTTTGTGGCGAAATGCAGCAGCCATTTGGGCACAGCAACGTCACACAAACAGTCGTGGATTGAGAGACGGAGAGAGACTGAGAGATGCACACATAGATGGAGAACTAAGAGAGAGAGACAGAGACGCATACACACACTGAGAGACTGAGTGAGAGTCTGAGATAATTGTGTAATGTTATTTCTGGTTACTATAAATATTATCAATGCTTTTTTCTCTCAAGAATTCATACTGGCGAAAAGCCATTTGCCTGTGATCAATGTGGCGCCAGATTCACGCAGAATCATATGCTGATATACCATAAGAGATCTCACACAGGTAAAAAAAGGTTTTATTTTCCTCTGATGTTTTGTGTAAAGTAGTTGTTTCACATGGCACAGATCATGGAGTTAAAATCTCAATAATTGTAATTGTTAACTCATTTGCCATATTATTGGCTGCAGAGGAGTTTCAGCTCAGTAAATGACCATGAGAGTATACTTGAACTGTTGATGAAAAAATTATTGCAAAAAATTGGTAGGATAAAGGGGTGAAAAGGGATTATAGAGAAGAATTTAGGAACATCTTTCCTGCTACCATATATGTCAAAAGAGCTGCTTCCATAACTATTTAAACAAGAACCAATCCTTCATAGATTATTGGACAGACTAGAATATTCCTGTGTATTATCATACGTTGTGGTGTCTGATCATATGTAAATTAATGAACACATTCATACCTAGCTCTTGAGATATTTTGCTGGCTTGTAGTATTCACATGTTTTTCTGTGTAATGTTTACAAACTTAGTGATCTCCTTTAGAGTTCTGATGATTGTTCTCCGTTTTTTCTTTTTTCGAAGATAGAATATCATGAAGGAGTTTGGCGGCAATGCAGTAATTCATTTTTTTAAATTAATTATTCAGGTGAAAGACCCTTTATGTGTGAAACATGTGGCAAGAGCTTTGCTTCAAAAGAGTACTTGAAGCATCACAACAGAATCCACACCGGATCAAAGCCATTTGTGTGTGAGATCTGCTATCGAGCCTTTGCACAAAGAAATTCCCTTCACCAACACATTAAGGTTCACACAGGTGTGATATACTCATTTGAAACGTTTGAATGGTTTTCCTAGAGTAGAGGGATTAAGGGAATGGAGATTAATCAAGATTTTGATAGGATAAATAGAGAGAATATTTCTATTAACAAAACACAAAATACTTCAGATGCTGGAAATCTGAAACAAAAACAGAGAGAGCTGAGAAAACTCAGCAGGTCAGGGAGCATCTATGGAGAAAGGAAAGTGAGTCAACGTTTTGGGTCCATGACCCTCCGTTCTGTTCTGATAAAGGGTCGAAACGTTGACTCACTTTCCTTTCTCCATAGATGCTGCCTGACCTGCTGAGTTTTCCCAGCTCTCTCTGTTTTTTGTTTCAGAATATTTCTATTGATCACTCAGTAATCAGAGAGCATAAATAACTGTTGAAACTGCCTGCACAGTGGAATTTCCAAGAGAATATTAAAGGGTTTGGTGAAAAAGCAGGAGAATAGATAAAGAGGAAGGTGCGGTGTGGAGAGGTAGAAACAGCAGGAATGATGGGGGTAGGGCAAATGACCTGTATTTCAAACTTAAGAAATGAGAGATCAAGACATCTGAGAAGCTTGTAGAAAAACTACTAACCTCAGAAGAGATTGGAGTTGTTGATGTTAAGCCATCATTTAATGGTTTTGATTTGAATTCTATTCACCAAGTAAATATTTAAATCATTCTGAGTTGGGGGATATTCATGGGAGACCTCACATGTTAGGGGATATGAAATCTTTTATTATTTAAAATGTGGAGGAAAATACAGCCTTCTATGTTGGGGTATCGTAACTATTTTTNCCTCAAATATACAGTCAATTCACTTTACAGTATATTCTGTCAAGCGCTTTGAGACGGCTAGAAGACGTGAAAAGCGCTATATCAAAAGCAAGGATTATTATTATTACTTTTTGCTCTGAGTCAGAGAAACGAAATGCTGCTTCTTAATATTTTGTCTTTTTCAGGTGAGCGTCCCTATTGCTGTGACCAGTGTGGCAAACAGTTCACCCAACTGAATGCTTTGCAGCGTCATCATCGCATACACACAGGAGAGAAACCATTCATGTGCAGTGCGTGTGGGAGGACCTTCACTGATAAATCTACGCTCAGGCGGCATGCTTCGGTGAGGACTGCTTCAATTGATAGTTCAGTTCTTTTTGTCTGCTCCACAAATAGAAATAGTTAAAAAGAGAAAACACAGGGTACTCCGATATTATGTGGGCTTCCAGTGCAGTTTTGGCTTCTGGAGTGGGCCAACCAAGTTCCTGCATTAAAAAATGGGTAGTTTTCAGATTGTCGGGATGTTGCTGATGTCATTTCCTGAACATGTGTACTATCCAGTTGACCATATTCCTGTATATCGCCATTGCTGAGCTTTTCCAAGCTGGATACCTTATCTTTAAAATAAGTTTAAAGATCAGCTTTGAGCTTGATTCAAAACTACAACCCAGCAGTCTGGTCCAGGAGCAAGCAAACCCCCGCAGGTATCTTCAGGCAAGAATTGCTTGCTTCAGACAAATAATTATTTTCTAATATTTTCTTGTGATTCTAGAGGTTGAACATCAATTGTGCCATTCTATTCAAATCTATTCAACTGTTGCTAATTCTTTGTCTTTTCAAATTACAAATACAGGTTCATGACAAGAATGCACCATGGCAGTCTTTCCTTATCACTCTGGATGAGAATGCTAAGAAAAACCATGCTCGAAGAATGGACTTCTATGCTATTGTTGATTGTGAGCCAATTCCTCCTTCAGAAGCGCAAGAACAATCAGCATCTTGTACAGAAATAATTGGTGATCAACATGCAGCTACTCTCCATGGGAATATCCCTGGTACACATGAGCAGAATGCATCAGGTACTTCTGACTGGAGGCCAGCTGGTCTGCCTTCAGTCACCATGGTGACTCAGGCAGCCTCTATGGTAGCCACTCTGAACGAGCTCGCTGTACTTCATGCCCCAACAAATTCAGTGCAGACTCACTTGCACATCTTGGCTAATGTGGAACAGCTCAATTCAGCAAGCACACAAGCCCTAGTTCTTGACAATAACACCGGTGCTTTAACAGTGGACAAAAATGAGACCCCTAACACAAGCAGTGTGACTACTATTTCTGTTCCTGCATGTCTAGGTATGACAGGTAACATCAACAACATGTTACCGCATGCAGCAGAAGTGGAGCAGGTACAGAGTGGAACACCTGTCACCATATCAACATTAACTTCACAATTAACTGTTATGCAGAGCAATAATCTGCCAGCATTGCAGAGCACTGTAAATGGAGTGGCCGATATTCAGACTATTCAAATGTGATCTGGTATTAATCTGCTGTATTGCTTCCACCCCTGAGCTCAGGTGAATTAATTTAAAATATTAATCTAGTTTTTGGTAGCGAGAAAGGAATAAATCATCTGCTACATTTATGGTCTTTTGGTTCTCTATGAAAGATTTACAATTATTCACTGGGTTGCAGCAGTGCTATTGTAAATTGGAAAATCAACAGAACTTTTTAAACTTATTTTAAAGTCAAGAAGGTGCATTATAATTTCTTTTTCTAAGTAGAATCATTTTGCTAGAGTTTCTAAATATCTGTGAAATGGATTTGATGCAGAAAGTGTTGCCTTTTAAAGTAAATATCAAGGTTTGACTATTGGATTTTGAAGCATTAGAAGATTTTAAAAAATATATAATGGGACTTAAAGCCCTTCAGAATGGATCATGTATTGCGAAGTTTGTGATTATGCTGTAGCAAGACGATGAAAGCAATCCTTTCAAAAATTGACAGTGACGTTATACACAACTTCATTTCTCCCTAAACGCATACAGCATGCATATTTTAATTGCCCCTCAATTATTGTTACCAGCTGGTATCTAATTTCCTCTTGGAATTGTTGCCACATTCTGCCTCCATAACCTCCCTAGGAAATTTATTCAAATATTCACCACTCTGTATAAACTAAATTAATTTGAAATGTCGCTTCACTTTCTCTAAGTTCTATCCAAGTCTAACCTTTGTTATAAGATCAGTCTATCTATATCTTCTACAATCTTCAGTACTTCAATAAGATCTCCCCTGAACCTTTTGTTTTTNAGCATTCCCAGTTTATGTAGTTTCTCCTTATAACAGGTGTCTAATTCAAGCCATCAATCCAGTTGCCTTTTGCTGCATTCCCACCAATGGCAAGATATCCCTACTCTAATACTTTGACCAAAATTATGCAATACACTAGGATAGGCTGGATTAATGTTCTGTACAAATTAAACTAAGGCTTGTGCTTTGTCCCTTTAGTTTCTACTTCGCTCAGTTATATAAACCCACTATCTCCTCTCAAAAATGCAAAATTTTTTATTTATCAGGTTTGAAAATTGCCTCGGAAAAGATATTAGAAACCACCAGAATTTAAATCTGCAATCCCAAAGATTGGCGTCCTTTTCAATATATTTGAAAAATGACTTTTTGGTCATTCTTCACCCATCTTTAACTATCCTGTCATCACTGGGTGGTTTTAAAAATAAACCTACTTCTGCCTGTGAACTGACTCTTTTGTGAGAGTACAATATTAGAGAGACATGAAAAAATTATATATTTCAAGAACCTTGCATTATGACTTAAAATTTGAAAGAACTTGGCTGACTTCTACCTTTATTAGCTGTTGCTCTTCTCTCTCCCAAATCATTAATTATAAAGCAAGGTTAATCTTTCAATTTGGGGTGGAGGCTAGGGATGTTGCCTTGTGTAAGTTTATTTATTTTGAGCCAATTATGGTGAATCAGTCACAGCAGTTATAGAGAAATCCCAGTCTCAGATTACCCTACTCTATTAACCAAATAAAGCTAGTGGAGTGGAAAATGCTCCCAAAGAATATGTGGCCAAAAAACTTCATATTGAAATGATGGGAATTAAGGTACTGTGAAGAAACCAAATGTTCATTCCAGTATTACATTCAGTGAGTCCAAAAATACTTACAAAACATGTTCTTTTTAGACTCATTAGCAGCATTTTAATAAACCCATCTATTTGATAATCACTTCTGGAATCAATTTGAGAACAGGGTCATCTCTTTGAGCATTTTTTCACTGTACCCAAATGTGATCAATTTTCTGAAATTGGATATGTTTAAAAGTATCTTGAACTGTTCAGGTACCCTAACAATTCAGGTAAAATTTCTGTTAAAATTTAACAGATTTTGTAGACCGATTTTGCTTTCAAATCGGTCTAGCAATGCCAAAAGTTGTGCTGGGAGTTGATGGTCTATTTCTTTGTATAAATCATTTGGATTACCTATCTCCAGTAAATAAACCTCCCACTGTTTACAGTTCATATATGCCCTGTTTCTGATATTAGCAAATAGCCCTATCATTATTTAATGTAAAAAGCAGCTCTCTTTTTATTTTGAACATTTTCTTCCAACCTGCTTGCCACCATTTCTTAGATGCCAAGAGAATATTGATATCAAAGCAGGTTATTATAGCTGCTTCACCAACCATTCAGCTTTATATTGTTCATACCTCTGCACGTCTCCATATAATAACTAAATAATTGTGGTTTTACAGCTAAAAAATAATCCTTGCATTTGATATAGCACCCTATCAAGTCATTGTTGTCTTAATGCATTTTACAAATTATACTGTAAAGTGTAGTGACTGTATTTTGTGAGCGAAATAAAGATTTCTTGAAATTAGACGATAATATAGTAAATAATCTGCCGTCTAATTGATAAAGTTTGCCAAACCTTTAAAAGTTCAATAGTCAAACTTTCCAACTAGGTGGTTCTATAGAAATGTCTTATTTATTCATTATACCTTAGTACCTTAAACGTGTTGCAAAATTGTGTGCATTTTTATCATGTTATTTGGAATGGAGCAGTCAAGTAGTGTTAATATGGTAATGGAATATCAGTATTGAAGGCCATACTGTTTGAACACGTTTTTCCTTCAGGAACAGGTTTTAAATTCAATCTGATCAGGTGGAGCCAGGGGCTTGGCTGCATCAAATGCAATGGGTTTGAGTCTCAATATACTCAGTGGAATTGAGCCTTAGAAAAAAAATACAATTGACACAATTGGCATTTAAAATGACTCACCTGGTAATTTAGCTCCATAATATCTACAAAACTGTGCACTAGCACTAGCTACTGTATGAAATATATTGGATTATCAAGTCAGTTTTATTTTCTTAAGCACCTGTTGAAATTACTGTGGAAAGTAAAGATATAAATTGATGTAATGGTTTTATTTGTATATTGTGCGTTTTTTTCTCTTGTCAGCATTTTGTTTGAATACTGGTATTTGGAAAACTTAAAATGTCAAGCTCCTTCCCTGCAGTGTTTCTTGTTGAATTTGAAATTGATATTTTTTACTAGAACAAGCACTTCCAACAAAATGTAACACAACACATTTACAGTTATAAAGTGCCTTTCATGTCGGGAGACTGTCCCAAAGCGCTTGACAATTCTGGGTGGTACTAGAGCTGAGAGAGGGGAAAGATGATCGAAAGCATGGTCAAAGAGGTACATTTTGAAATGCACTTAATTAGAAGGGAGGGAATGGAAGGAACAAAAATTTTCAAGTAAGAAGATTAGCTAATTTTTCTTTGCTGCTATCCAACCTTAGCAATCATATCCTAATTGTAGTGTAGATTGATGAGTTAGTCAGCATCACAAAGGTCATATCTGCAATTCCCCTCGCATCACCTTTCTTATCTCAGCACAGCTGTTTGGGAAGGGAGGAATGTGTCCCGAAGAGAGGGAGTCAATTGTGTCAGTGCAAGGACTGTGAAATCTCCAGAGAGCAATCAAACACAGATAACGTGAATCATTGTCATGAAGTGTAAACGATCTTTAACAGGATAAGCAAAGTCTTACCTTCTGTGGTTGGATTAGCAAATATTGAACACTTAATCAAAAAATGTACCTCCAATAGCTGCTTAACTGGATAGTCTTCATATATTAATAAAATGACAGTGTCTGTCTGCGCTTCGAGAAGGATCTCGATAACCGATTGATGTAGAGACATTATTTATATCTCATCAGAAAGGTTGTGCACCTAGAAGTGACATGGGCATATTTGTTTTTGGGTATCTCGTATCGTTCATGAGTTATTTTCAATTTGGGGTTTTTCGCTGCAATTACACCCGGTGGCCACCAAGACAAAGTGACGCTGTAGCATCATGCGTCACAGACCACGTGTGTGTGTATATATATATACACATATATATATACAACTGCATTCACTGCAGTTACACTTGGTGGCTGCGCCGGCTGACCGTGGCGCTGTGGTTTCCTGCGTCACAGAGCTTGCTTGTAGCCAAGCAGCGGGAATGAAATAAAGAACACAGGCGAAGCTAAGCCACAGCAACAACAACAAAATTACATTGTTAAAGCGCCGAGTCCTCCCACTGAATCCTCCCAAATTAAGTCTTCTCGCTGGAGTCCTCCCAGATGAGTGTAGATAAAGATGAAATGTTTGTCTGTGTGTCAATCTACATTCCATATTGGATGCTTTGGTTGCGAGCGAAGCTGCAGCTAATATTGCATTAATACAAAAACCCCAATGAGCACTCTGCGTTCCCCAAGCTTTAGATCGTGCCAATCTCCGCCTAAAACTCTGGAATTGGGTAATCAGGGGGAGCATCCACATTCCATGCCTGACACAGGAATTCCTGTGTAATTGACATGCATATGTGGAATGCTCAGTCTGGTTTTGATAACTTTAAGCCTGGTTTCCAAGTGTGTCAGTCACCTGCCTGACCAAAAATAATCAGGTAAGTGAAAGGAGAAATTTGAATTAAATAGGTGCAATGAGATGAATTAGTATTTACTCAGGATAAATTGCTGAATTCATCCACATTAAAGGGATCACATGGATGCATTATATATTTACTGGGTGAAACATTAAAAACATCTTTGTTGCTTTACACATCTTGCCTGTTCCAATACTTCTTTGAAGTGCCGAATTCCTTTTTAGGGAATTTCAGGATTCCTAGAAATGTGAAATTTGTAAATTTTAAAAATAGCGGTTTAGGAGTTACTGAATTTGTAACCATTTTTTGTTCGAACAATTTTTTTTAAAGGATTATTTCTTAAAAACATTAAGATTCCTTAAAAATAATTTGTGTTTTTAAAAATAGTAAATGACAAATCTTTGCTGCCCAGCTGCTTCCAACATTGGACATTGTGAAACTTAAGAGATTCACTTGTCACATTATAGAAAGCATCTTTTATCTGAAATGTTCAAGATTTGTAAGGGTTTGCATTTGTATTTTGATAAAGGAAACATATGGGACATTACACTATTTGTACTGCACCCTTCTTGCCCCTCTACTCACAGACATCATAAACCTTTCCCAGTACACTGGTACTGTTCCCACACCACTAAAAAAAAATCATCACTCCTATCCCTAAAAAACCCTCCCTGAACCCATCTCCAACCTCCCTGTCCTCTCTGAGTTCCTGGAACAAGTTGTTGCTTCCCAGCTCCGCTCCTTCCTCTCCCGTTACTCCCTTCACGAACCCCTCCAATCGGGTTTCTATGCCGCCCACAGCACAGAAACAGCTCTGGTCAAAGTGAGAAATGACATTCTGTCCAACTGCAACCAGGGCTCCCTCTGCCTCCTCGTCCTTGACTGCTCTGCTGCCTTCAACACTGTTGACCACTCTATCCTCATTCACTGCCTCCCCTCTCCCCTCAACCTTCACAGTTCTGTCCTTGACTGGTTCAGATCGTACCTCTCACACCGCCTCTACTTCATCTCCACAAATGGCTTCTCCTCCAGCCCCCGCACCATCTCGTGCGGCGTTCCTCAGGGCTCTGTCCTTGATCCCCTCCTCTTCAACATCTATATGCTCCCTCTTGGTGACATCATTCGCAGACATGGGGTTAACTTTTACATGTATGCAGATGACACCCAACTGTATCTCTCTGCCTCCACCCTTGACTCCAGGACCACTTCTGTCCTGACAGAATGTCTGTCAGACATCTCCTGGATGAGAGTTCACTTTCCACAGTTGAACGCCAACAAGACTGAGGCTCTCCTGATTGGCTCCCATCAACACCTCCACATTTCAAGTACTGACAGCATCACCATCCATGGATGCACACTCCACCTTGCTAAGCCAGTCCGGAAACTTGGCGTCTTGTTTGATCTTCAGCTATCCTATCTACCCCACATCTGTGCCATGACCCGCTCTGCCTTCCCCCACCTCTGCAACATCGCCCGGCTCCGACACTGTCTCACACCACAGGCCGCCAAAACCCTCATACACGCTTTCATTACAGCGAGGCTTAACTGTGCAAACTCCTTGCTTGTCGGCCTCAACTCCTCCCTCCATAGGCTGCAGTTCATCCAGAACTCTGCAGCTCATGTCCTCTCCCGCACAGGCTCCGTGACCCTATCACCCCCATCCTCGCCCAACTCCACTGGCTTCCCATTGCACAGAGGATACAGTTCAAGATCCTGGTCCTCATCTTCAAAGCCCTCCATGGCCTTGCTCCCCCCTACCTCTGCAACCTCCTAACCCCCTACCATCCTGCTCGCTCCCTCCACCCAGCGGGCTCCAGCCTGCTTCTCGTCCCATTATTGGCAGGCCGATTGGCCTTCTACCACTCTGCCCCCACTCGTTGGAACTCCATACCACAGTCCCTCTGCTTCGCCCTCTCCCTTGCTTCCTTCAAGTCCCTCCTCTTCAACCGTGCTTTAGATCACCCTCCCTGCCCTCCACTCTTCCTGACCACCCCCCCCCCCCCAGCTCAGGTCCGAGACTCCATGTCTGTCCAGTACCTTGGGACATCCTCCTGCCGTAAAAGGCACTATACAAATGTAATTTTGTTGTTGTTGCACCCACCTAGAAGAAAAATTACAGTAATTGGTCAAAGGTCTTGAGGCAAACCTCAAACAGTGGAGGAAGGAGTGAATAGGATGGAAATATGGTGACAAGTTGATGATTGAAAGGGTTTATGTCGATGGTTTCAAAGCTGTGGCCTATTTCATCAATTCCCAGCTAATAGTTTTGTGCAATTAAATGTTGCACAAAACAATTGTTTGTTCTCAGGAGTACCGAGCAGTGCAATACAGCATAAATGAGTGATGAACTTTAATTTGATAGCAAGTGAATAACATTTCCACTGCCTGTCTGTCAGATGATTTATATTTATAAATCCTTAAAAGCAGAGTAATGTTCCTGCTAGAACTGCAATATTCAGTGTGGTCAGGCTTAGGCCTGCTGCTGCATATTGTTGTCCAACAGCAGGCTGACCCATTTCCAAGCAGCACATAGTACAATAACAAATTGCATTTGTATGACGTCTTTCACGTCGGGAGGACGTCCCAAGGCGCTGGACTGTCAGGGATTTGGACCTGAGCAGGTGGTTGTGATCAGAAGGGGTGGATGGTAGGAGGGTGACCGAAGGCGCAGTCGAAGAGGAGGGTCTTGAGACATGCCTTGAAGGAAGCATGGGAGGGAGCATGGCGAAGGGTCTCTGGGATGTAGTTCCATAGGGTGGAAGCAGAAACGCTGAAGACCCGACCACTGATGATGGAGCATACCAGGTTGGAAACGTGAAGCAGGCCGGCGCCTGCTGAGCAAAGGGAGTGGACAGGTCCATAAGGAGTTAGCGGGTCACAGAGGTAAAATGGAGTAAGGCCGTGGAGAGCTTTGAAGGCGAGGACTTCAAATTCTATCTTCTGGGAATGGGGCGCTGGGTGAGGATGTGGGTGATCGGGTCATGGAGCATGGTGCGGGAGAGGACATGAGCTTGTGTAGGGAAGAGTTAGGAAGGCCGACAAGCAAGGAGTTGGTGTCGTTGTGCCTAGATGTAACAAATGCATGGATGAGGATTTTGGCGGCCTGAGGGGAGAAGGCAGAAACATGAACGTTGTAATACAATAATTGGAGGAAACTATTTTAATTTATAGTTTCAACAACAAATTGTATTCCTTTTTATAGCTTTTTAATTGAATCTCTGGGAGCTGGCAATAAAGTGAAGGTAAATAATCAATCTCTATCCAACCCTCACATTTTTAGCACCGTCCTGACACCCGACAAGCTCCTGTGGTGTGCAAGTGCCAGATTCTGTGCAGAAATCTTTCAACAATGCTTGGCTTATGATGAATGTCAAGAGGTCCTCAAATATTCCCAAGCTCAAAGCAAAACGAGCTTTATTTGAGCCTAGGATGTTTCAAGGCAGCGTCTTATTTTACATTCCCTTCAGTTTTTTTCTTCCTGAAGATGTGGGTTTATAAAGTATAGGTTCCTTCTGAACCTCTTAACTTGCTTTTACGTAATGGGGATTGATGAGTATTGAATGCTACCAATTTATTTGAAAGGGGATAACAAAAGTTTGATTTGTCTTCAGCCATCTACCTATCGGTACTTTCAAGCAGAAAACCTAGGAGCCCTGAGCACACCTGGTCTGGGACACTGATGCCTATTGTAGCACCCTTACTGCTGCGCAACATCAAGTAACCTGGCCCAAACCAAGTCTACAGTAAAAAAAACTGCAGCAGAAACTGCTTTGCTGGCGATATTTGCATCTGTGTATGGATCTTGTTAAACAGTTCTCTTGAGTTCACACTGAAAAGTACATTTGTTCATGCTACTATTAGCAATAGCTTGATGAATCATTAGACGGCTGTAGAATGCAGAAGTTTTTTAATATAATATATCCAGACCAGTACTCCATTTTTTAACAACATTTTACTATATTAAAGATGCAAGATAAATAAAGTCAAAAAAAATGTAATAGGATATTTTATTTTAATGGAGGAGTTTGTTTTACTTTCAGTAACAGACTGGCTGAAGTATTTTCAGGAGCACGCATCTTCACAATGCTGAAGATTTGCCAGAACACCACAAAAAGACTGTCAAGCTGATAAGATTGTCTTGATGCATTAGATATTTGAAACAATTTCTAATACACATTACACCACTATTTTAACATTACCTATGAGGACAACATGCTACATTCAAATTACTGTGGACAGCACTTTGTAACACCAAATACACAACACGTTTGAACAGGCATACAATCCATACGACAGAATGACAATGTTTACATTTTCATAGCTTAGCAATGGTACACGAGGTAAAATACTTGGGAGAAAACAAATCTTGCTACAACAATGAAAAATACTCTGGTCAACCAGCACAGTAGTTACAAAGGTCTTTAAAGATGTTTAAAATCAGCTTCTCAAGTTACTCTAATGTCAGTGTAATATAGCCTATCCTCACAACACATAACGATACACAAAATGCTTATGCATTTGTACTGAATACTTAGTACTTCACGGTAGTAAAATTATTTTTCAACCAAATATACATAGGATATTACAGTTTATTTTAAAGTAGCCAGTCATGCTATATGAATTCAAGTTTTCACAAGTGGTGAATTTCAAGAATGTGCAATTTGTTAACTTACTTCCATTTTTTGCTCCAGTGTTTGCACAATTTACAAAGACCGATTCTAGAGGAGAAGTGAAGCAGACCAGGTGTGCAGAGGAGCTCACACTGCTCCTGCAAAATCTCTATTGTAACAGGTGATTTATTTTGTTAAAAAAAAGTTTTGAAGGAAAGGTTTGGTTTCTCAGTGCTGCCCCACAAGCTGCAGATTACAATGCTTTCTCGACTAACATCTGCCCAATATCTGAAGTCTTGCAATAAAAATAAATATAGGTTGTTTGAAAAAATTACTAAAACCTTCAAATAGCTTGTAACCATTGGAAGACAACGTATCTTACATAATTTAATACAATACTAAATCTGCAGAAGGTGGTTTCAGAATGAGTTGATAAAGAGTTCAGCTGCATTGATTCAGCTATTTGTGGAATATTGCTGGGTGCAAATTGGCTCCACAGTTCGCCTACAAAGTAGTCACTACACCTCACAGTAATGCGCTTTCAGAAGTCCTTCCAATATGAAAGGTACCATGTCTAATGTACGGATTATTATTATTATTTTCCAGAATTGTGCTCAACTTCCCCACCCCTTGCCATTGCAACATCTTGACTTCGGAAAAAAACAATAGTGTAAACACTTCAATGGATTTGGAACAATATCAACACCTGGGTCTAATCACGCATGGCAATCAAATTAATCCTAATTTGAGTATAAATCCAGTTTGTTTGCCTATTTGCAGCTTTCCTTCCTGTAATGTAAAATGCACACCAAGTCACTCAATGTAAAGCCTCCTGTAGTATAAAAGGTGAATTAAACCATTTAATGAAAAGCGCATAACTTGGATTACTGTATTTCCATGTTGGAGATCGTGATTTGCTAGATTACAGATTACTGGAATTTGTAAAAAAAANGATTTAATATAGTTTCTCTGTAAGGGTCTCACAATAAGCACTGCTATTTTTTGTTCAAATTAATGTTTCATGTTATACATAGCCATTACCTAAAGTGAATAACCAAACTTTTTTGAAATAAGTTTCTGCATCAAAACTAGCCAAAGGAATCACTTAATGCTTCCCAACAAACTTTTGTCTACGTTGTGATTAAATGTTTCAAGAACTACTTTATATGAAGATGTCCAAGAGGAGCTTTGAAAATAATTAGAACCTAGCAGTAATTCTTCATAGGATCAACAATTACATATTCATACTTTCACTTTCTAACTATACAACTTAGTTAAAAACTCAATGGGCACAAATTACACTAAAATAACAAAAAAAACACTCAGTTTTAGGTTAAGCATTTAAGGTCAAAATGCGTTTGGTTAAGCATTTGAAGATTGTTAGAATGTTGTTCCCAAACCTTTCACAAAAGACAAAACATTAATATCATCAACAATATAAATAAATCCCTTCATTACTAATTTTGGGTGGTGGTCATGATTGACTTAGCAATTGGACCCAGTTGACATTAACCCCCATCCATCCACCAAAAAAAATGCTCTTTACCATGTCTGCATTTTTCACTGTCAAATTTGGAAAAATGCAAAGCTTTAAGAATTCAAAATATGTAAGGTTATCATTTTGAATTAGTCAATAAACAATTTTCAATTCACATTCCAAAGGAGAGTAAAAACACACTCATCATGAAACAACTCTACTGCCATGCATGGCGGGTCTACTAGAAATGTTGTCCCAATTTTCACTGACGCAATATAGCCTGAAGCCTTAGAGCAGAATGAAGGATTGCAAGCCTTAATCAAACTCTGAGCAACTACAGCAGATATAACACAAAAATGAATTTCTCAGATGGAGAGCTAATAGAACATACTGTTTGCTTGCAAGTAAGCTGACGGAGTTCTACATCTAAATCTTGATTCACAGTGATCAGACCAACAGCACATTATATTCCGCAGGCACATTATAAAGCTCTTGGAACATTTCTCCATGGTAAAACTACTTGCCCAACATTCAGTTTATGAAGTCTTGCAATACACTCACTACTCATGCACCTTATTCAAACATGCAAAACGTTTGCATCCTGAGACTGCATTAATTGGGGATATTTTTTCTTGACGTGCTATCAATAGAGGTCGCATCACCCCAGCTCAGTCTATTTATGTCGTGGAACAGTTTTCCTGGTCTTGGACTACTACACCACACTACCTTAATTTTTAACAATTCTTATTTTGTGAACTGCTTCACGAGACCTTCATCCTACATGAAAGTGCTACACAAGTGCAAATGCACCAAGAATACAAGTCATTTTAAACAAAATTCAATCTGGAATATTATGTAGGAGGGTGGATCTGGTGTGAACTAGCTGAATCTTTTTCATTAATTCTACAGAATTAAGACTGTTCACAAGGTGATCAATTTCCCTCAGAAGTTTTACCTCACAAAACATTTTGCCATAAAGTGCTCCAAGCAACTAAATTAGCGTTTACAGCTAAACACTGTTCAAGCCAACATGGTATCTACGATACATTTGTGCCTTATGTACAACTATAATGGTAAGAGCTGTTCAGCTGAGATCCTAGATACAGATTTAAACTGCTTAAAACATATACAATTAATAAAACGTGGAAAATGTGTTGGAATCCTTCTTTGAAAATATTACCTTTGGGACACTCTTATACAGGACTACATTGCATAGAATGGTCATATGTTAATTTAGACTTCTTGTAAGCAGTAAAAAGTTCCCCACTATCCAGCATTGGAAACATGAATAACAAGTGGGTGCAACTACACCACAGAACCAGAAAAAAACAGGCTTTTTCAAATGTATCCAAGGTCATTCCAAGCAGAATAAGTTGCACAGAATAAAAGCTATAGAATATAAGGTTTTAAAGAAGAAAATCCCAATAAAAAAAATCCTACTTTGCCCAGCGGTTATCTTCGTAACATACAACATTTAGAGTTTAAATAATTGTGTTATTGGCATAATTCTGACCAGTTGTGAAATTCTCTTGCCCTGCCATTTGACTTTACAGTAAACCATCTTGTACACATCATCCCTTTCAGAATCTAAGGTGGTGTGACTAAACAGAAATATTTTTAATTATCAATGAAAGGAAAATCCCGCTGTTCTGGTATCCTAGAAACTGACTAATTCAGCAATTTGTTTTGTATTGACACTACCTATAAAATTCCCAGCATAGATTAGTAAAAAAAAATCAACAGTATTAAAGCAAAACTCGCCAAGCAGTCAGAGGAGGGAGGAAAAGGTACAAATTTGGTCTTTGTAACAAATATTTTATGCCATTACACAGCCACCAGATTTAGTTTTGAATTGGTGTGTGCCTGGCCACAGGGGGTCTCACTGCCACCTGATCGGTTCAGAACAGATTGAGACGCGGAAATTATATTCAACATTTTTTTGCAACGTGCGTTTCTTCAGGATCTGTCATTGTAGCATTTAGACACCATCTGCTTACATTTGTATTAGGAATTTTTGTTTTAACCAGCATCAATTCGGTTTTCAAGTAAATTATGAAGCGATATTTCCATCCCCTCCATAGTGCAGCAATGCTCATCGGCCAGGACTGGTTCCCAAACTGGGAATTAGAATAGTGTTGTTGAATGATACATTAACTTTGTGGATTACACTACGGAAACAAATTGAGCCATAAACATTGAAAACAGGTATCCACAGCCCAGTACACATAATAGCATTTGACAATTTTGGCAGGCAGGGTACTCTGTGCCTATAAAGTGTTCACTTGAGATCTCCCTCTCCGTGGATGGATTTTTTGATGCGCAGCAACATAGTCGTAAGCCACTGGTCCAGCCGAGATATGGAATCAAATTCTTTTACCTGTAGCCAGAGAGAAGAACATAAACAGAAGCCAGTTGGAATGACAATAGCATTTTCTAGGGTGAAAACAGACCTGAGATGTTATCACTAAGCTTGACTTATGGACTGGCCTTGCATTGTATTGGGAGTGTCAGCTCAATCTATGAGTTCAAAATCCCAATGGGGCGAGAGGATGCGCAACCAAGCAACTGCACCAAAAATATTTTTGAAAGTGACAGAACTTTTAAAAAGTTATCAATTCAGATCCTCGGAGTCACTGAACATAACCTAATAATTAAAATAATCATAAACCATAAATTTGACAGAAGAATGCAAGAGCTCTTCTTATTTTGAGGAAGAATCAGAATAAACCAGATTTTCAGTATTCGGTTTTGTTTTACTTGTGCAGCTACAGACATTCTTCCAGTTTCGGCCTTGGCTCACAGAGAGACAAGGACACATCTTGAACTCAGAATCTCATGATTTATCATGAATAATTCCTTGGATTACTGCAGACTTTCCGGGCTTTGCAATTATGTCTGTTCAGAGCCACTTCAACCCCAGGGAGATCCTGTTTATTTTCCCCAGGTGGATATTTTAAACACAGTAATATTTTTGAGCCTAAACTGTCTGAGTGAACCACACAGGAATTCAAAGACAGAAACATCTAGTGTAAAGTCAAAGTCAGGTATATAACTGAATCGATGAATATAACTGAATCTTTGCACTCCACTCTGCGCTCAGATGACATATCATGGAATGTAAAAACTAAAAGCCAGACACACAAATCTAATCACAATTTGATGTTACTTACTGCTTCTGTATAAGCTTCACCATTTTGTTCCTCATGAGCTTCAAGCAATTTCTATCAAAAAAGCAAAACCATTTAACTTTAAAACCAGTTTGAGAATGAAAACTAAAACAATATACAGCACTGGTTTTACAGGTCTTGTCCAGCTAGAGTTTTGTTTATAAGATTGAGGACATGTCTGTTTACAAAGGGAAGGAGAATAATGAAAAGAGGAGCTTCTTCAAATTAGTCCAGGTACAAAATGGAATAAAAAAATAGAAAGTGCAATCTGCTTTATGTAATACAGTAAGTAAATTGATTTTACAAGAAGCAAAATAAATCCTCCGCTCAATATCAAAGTTTAGTGGTATTTATATTTCTCCACTGCAAAATTAAACATAATATTGTAGAATTTCATGGTTATACTGTGTTTCAGCACAAAAATACTACTATATACACAAGTAGGTTTGGGAAATTGACACACTGGCTTGTAAAGTGGAATGATTAGATTCCATCTGGCTTTTTCAATCGAAGCAGAACTTAGCAGGGCATTGGAAAAGCAGATAATTATTATTATTATTATAATAATCCTTGCATTTGATATAGCACCTTATCACGTCATCGAGATACCTCAAAGCATTTAATACGATTTACAGTAAATCAGTGTAACTGTATATTCTGTGGATAAAATAAACCAGATATTGGAGTGAAGCTGGTCTGCATTTCAGATCCCCACCCCCATACATAGGAGATTTCCAAGTGAAATCATGTAGTTGGACCACTCTCCAGAATTACCTTTAAAAGCTTGCATTCCCGTGAATCTGAAAATGCTGGAAACATTTCTTCATATTTCTCCAAAGCAAGCTGCAATTAAGCAAGAGCTTTTGTTATGGAATCTGATTAAAAACACACAATCTAATTTCTTTTTAAAAAATTACTTTCTATATGAATCTGTAACAATTGTGAAGTGCTCCTGTACATCCCCTCATACAAAGAAACTTCATCTGCATTATTTCAATTTATGTTTTTGCCCAATGGCTTTTGTACAGCTCTAGAACACCTCAGTGTTTCATGTTCCCTTTAAAAAAAAGGGAATATTTTGATGCTACGTTATACTTTCATTAATACGACGTTATACATTTCCACCAACCCAAGTCACCATTTTGTACCCCAGATGTTCTTATAGAGCTCTCATATCACACATTACACACTTTCAAGAACAACTGATAGTCCCATCAGTTTGACACAGGTATTGTATATTAATTCCTCACCCATCCCTCGACATAAAACACATTAGAGGTAGAGCATCTGTATAATTATAGTCTTCTAAAAGGTTTCATTTTTAATACATTATTCCTACTGTACTTTAGAGAGACAAACACAGTAAACAATTGTGAAAGTTGCGGAGGCTGATGTGTGGGATGTTTGTACGAGTCTGGCAGATGGTTAAGACAGGTTATGAGAATATTTTCTCATCTTTTACCAAAAAGCTTAGTCGTTACATGACACGATTTTTTTTAAAAAACAAAAAAATTGCAATTTTATTCCCCAGCCGCGCTTTTGTGGCACTTATTATTTCTCTCAAAATTGATCCAGTTTCACTTTCTATTTTTTTTCTTTTCCACAGTAGCGCACAGCATCAAAGCCTGACCAGATCAGCCTCACTATACCTAGATAGCACACAAACCCCTTCTCGGAAAAGCATTGATGTCGCATCACTGTGATTTCCAACCTAGCAAGAAAGAATTCTACATAATAAAAAAAATTATAATTGCATTTGATATAGCGTCTCAAAAATGTCTCAAAGAGCTCAATTTTCTATAAAGTGCAGTGACTGTATTTGTAGTTGAACCGGCAGCCTATTTGCACACAGCAATGTTCACAAATGGCCATTAAGTGAATAACCAATTTTATCTGGGGGACTGTGGATCATGACACTGAGAAACTCCCTCCTTTTCAAATAGTGGGATCTATTACTGTCCACTTGAAAAGGCAGATAGGTCCTGGGTTTAAGGTTTCACCAAAGTGCTTCCCCAGCACTGCACTAGAGTATCAGCCAAGACTATGAGCCCAAAGTCCCAACATGGGGCTTAAATCTTTAACCTTCTTTCTGACTCAAGACGCAACAGTCCTCCCAACTGAGCCAAACTGACATATGATCCTAGATTCCTTCTCCTTAGTCTTTTAATTAACAATATATAAGGGAAATATTTCTAATCAAACAGTCCTAAAACTTGTCAGTGGATTAAAAAAAGGAAATGGGGAAAATTAAGAGTGAAATTGACCAAATTCTCCTCCAATTTTAAAAAGACTAAAAGGTAGATTATTCATCTTGAATTCCTTATTCTAAGTCTCCCTGTGCAATGTACAATCCCCTGGCTGAGAAGGTAAACAGCCTCTCATAGGCGCTCCAATATACAGTGCCACTGAATCATTCCAGGGAGGTTTCACCAATACGATGGACATCAAATAATAGTCAAAGGTTCACCCACCTTAGCATTCAGCTCATCAACAATAAAATGGCAGAGGGCTGCTTTGAAAAAATATTCCTTTGCACTATATTTCAGCAATGGATTGTCCATGGTGTTGGTCCCAACCTGCAAGATAAAAGGTTTACAATACATACAGATGGTCAGACATAAACTGAGCAGCAGCTTGACAGAACCAAGGAAAGCTAACAGCACATAAGGTAGCCATTGGGTCTGGGCTGGTGCCAGCTCCTCCACTCGTTATTTAGTCCAAACCCAATTCTCTTTATCATCATTTCTCACATGACACAATATAAATTTAAATTTATATTGCACCTTTCACATCAGGAGGATGTTCCAAGGTGCTGGTAGTTCTCATTCCAATCCCACATATTCCTGTTGCCTTTATCTGTTGCTGGCCTGTTGCGTGGGTGCGCGCTGACACACACACACACACACATACACACACACACACACACACACACTGACCTGTTCATAAATTTCGATTGCCTTCTGATACTGTTCTAGTTGTGCTGCGTATGCAGCCACTTTCAGCAAACACTTGTTAGCTGAACTGAAACATGAAGCACAGAAAATTTAAGAAAAGCACTCTTGCAATATATCGGTATCATAAAAGTGGATGATTGGGAGAACAAATACCTGTTTGATTCTTCTCCTTTATAGTAATCTGCAGCTTGTTCGAAATGAGCAACAGCCTGTGAAATTCCAATGAAACTCATTACAATGCAATGTAAGAGTTACACTCCCACTCTTAACTCTCTCAGGCAGATTTTACATAGCAAAGTGAAACATTATACCACATAACTCCAGAGGCAAATACCTAGTGTTTTTGTAATGGAACATCAGAATACAGCAATGATGTGAGTAAACAACATTTCTATCCCTTTCTGAAGCCAGCAAAATGGTTAATTTTATAGATTATTTAAATTCAAATGGCCCAGCTTTCAAAAGTGCATGGAGCTCAATCCCATTCCACCTCTCCTACATGTCTGAAGTAGAGTCTAATGCAGCAATATTCCATCTGGATCACCTGTAAATCTCTTTGCATTGTGAAAAAAAGACACTGGACCCATCTCCCAATTAACCAGGACTTGTCAGTGCCCATCACAACCCGTCTTCTAACGAGACTAGAAGTTCAGACTCCACTGACTCTGACAAAACATTTTGTACAACACTAACCCCCCCAGCCAAAAACATATCTATTGCTTGTTGTTACCAATGAAGTGTTCTCAAGTTAATATTGTGAATGCTTATGTGTTTGCAATGTCCTCACTGAAAGACCAAGATAAGAACAAGAAAAGACCATTTGGCCCATCATGCCTAATCCTCCTCCAAAACTGATCCCATCAAAGACCTAATTTCACCCATTCAATATCCTGGGTGAAAGCTCTGCATAGAGACTCCCACAACCCCAAAGTCAATCTTCCTTTAATATTCCTCCACTATTCTAACTAGCTGTTCTTCCCTCCACAGACAGCATTACCACCCTATTCAGGAGCTCATATATTATTATAGTTATGATGGAGTATTTGCTAGGCACGGTTTCTACCCAGCTACATTAACTACATCCTCCTAAAACTGCTCTGAAACAGATAATTAGCAGTATGTTTTATGAAGTGCGGTCGAAGAGGAGAGTCTTGAGATGTGCCTTGAAGGAAGCAACGGAGGGGGTGAGGCAATGCTGCACAGAACCAAAGCAACCTCAAGGTGTGAAAGAAAGTCTAATACAATACCTTTTCAATGTCCACCAGCTCTGATTCATAAATTTCTGCAATTGTAATGTGATGCTTTGCTGCAATTGTAAATCTTCCCTGCAAAAATAAAATGAAAGTGTTTTGATCAAGCATTGCTTTGCTGATTAAATTCAAGAGTGAACAAAAAAAACTGCTGCTGTATCTACAAGGCAAGGCCACAGTATTGCACTGGTCTTGTCAATTACTTTAATGAGCTTCTTACCATATCAGTGTAAATGTCAATGGCTGCATTTAAACAGCTTATGGCCTCTGTGGGGGAAAAACAAATATAAAACATCAGAAAAGGCACTTTACGCATTTCAATCATGAGCTCTTAGTTCAGTCAGTCACTTTACAACAAACTAGAGATGTGGCTAGGAGTCACATGGCAACATCAATAAATCAGAATGATCACCTGTATAAGGGGTCAACCACAGAATGTTAGTTGAGGCTGACACTCAAGAACTGCAAAGATGTGTCAGCCTGGACTATAGGCTCAGTGTCCCTGACACAGTACTTGAATTCACGACCTTCAAACCCAGTGGGCGAGTGCTACCAACTGAGCCACGTGAATACTTCAAAAAAGAGCAACATTCCTCATAATGTGCAGGTATAAACTTGACAGATTGTCGGCAGTATTATTGTAATGTTAATTAATGTAGTACTAACCAAGTGAAATTAAGCCATGCTATTACTTAAACAATAGAATCCTGAAAGTACGAAACTGAGCAGCACGGCAACAGAATTATGTCAAACAGTCTCAAAGTGCTCCACGGAGTTTTCTATGAAGTGCAGTGACTGTGTAAATAGAGGCAAATCACCCAGCCCTCCAAGGCGCTGTAACACAGAGTGGGCCTGCATAGCGAGGTGGGTAGACAAAGGGGAGTGACTGCCTGGCTGAGGGAGGGGATAGTAATTTATTATAAAGTTACTGTAGAGTCTACAGTAGATTCTCAGGTGGAAACATCTGTACAACAGCGAAAGTAACAATCCAAGGTATGTGACACTTCATAAACATCTTACCCTGGGGATCCGCTTTCTTGAATGCGTTCCCGGCATCCACGAAACTGGTGGCTGCGTCATGCTTGCTCTGTAGCTGGAGATGGAGCCGGGCTGCTTGGCAAAACGCATTCCCTGCAGCTATTTCATTTAAAAAGGAAAGGCAGTAAAATTGTACTGTACTTCAATTCCTATGGAACAGTCACATCTTCCATGGGACCGATTAAGAACATTCCCTGGTACAAGGTAATGTACATCAGGCAATGGAATTCACACAGCAAAGGCCGATTGTAGAGTGTACATTTCTTGTCTGAGCTTTCATAGGTGTATAGAGAAAAGGAAGGTGTTTGTTCTGGCCAGTTTGTTTTAATGCCAGCAAAAGCATTTCTTAAGTGGGAATATTTCAATACCAAAAATAAACTCCTCCAAATTAACTTGTATGCTAAGATGTTTCATCCTTTACATTTCTCACCATTGACTTAAATTGGAATGAAAACTAGATTATAGCTGTGGAGTATTTATCTTAGTGTGTGCGCAAGTGAGCACCCATGCATATGGGGGAAAGGGAATAAGTGCTACAACATCAGCTATGGGGCTGAGGTCATGGCTGTTGAGTGTTTGCATTCAGTAGGGAATATATCTCACAACTAACAATCCAGAATTTAAATCCAGAAAGCAAGAGATCAGAATGGTTGCATCAGAATGGTTGTTTAGCAGAGTCTAAACAGAGTCTAAAATGAGAACAACCGGATCTGGTTTGTAGAGAGTGAGCCAAACCAGCAGGGCAGTGACCAGTCATGGAGGCTACATGCCAAGCTTTCATTTGTTCTTAAAACTCTAGATTTGACCTCTACTCTGATTTCAGGAAAAGACATCTGTGGTACTGCACAACATTAAGCATTGCACTATAATCCCTACATCTCTTCCCCAAATGCCTTTAGCTTTCAGAATTAAAATTTGATCAATCAGTAGTTCACAAGTATGTCTCAAAATTCATCACTTTGTCCATGATTTTGATGATATTTCTCCTCCCCATCCCTCTCGGCTCCCACCCCAGCTCGGGTGCCCATCCAACAACGTAAAGCGCTTTGAGACATCCTCCCGAAGTGAAAAGCGCTATATAAACATAAATTGTATTGCAAGATTAGGTGGAGATCTCATGTCAATAGCGCCGGGGTGCTGTTTTGATTTAGATGGTGGCTACTGGAGGGGAAGAAACATGTCTAAGAAAGAGAGTTTTATCTGGTGTGCTTTCCTCCCACTCTTCTCCTGCTGTCTCTATCTGGGATATTCCACACAGTCAGCTGCCTTCCTGTACTTGCCTATCTGGCCATTCTTCCAGAGTGAGCCTGATCATAGAACCTTGGCAGACTATCAGGATTGGTTACAATTCCCCCTCTGGTAAAATAACCTGCCGACACTACTGCGTGGACTCACACAATAATCACTTGGCTATGTGTTGGGGAGGGGTGGAGGGTGGGGGGTGGTGGTCTGCAGATTCTCATGGAACCGTCACACAGCAAGAGTCAGCGCCTTCCGAAGCAGGGAAAAGAAACGGAACATGGTTATTTTAACGTATTTAGTGTAGAAACTCTTCCCGTTCATGTTTACATAGTTTTATGCAATGTGGGGCTCATAGATACAGACATTAATTTTTAGCTTGGATCTGTGAATCACAATTCATTTGAAAGGAATAATACAAAATATGTTTGCTGTACATTACCCACCTGCAAGTGAAAAATGTAGCTTGCCTTTCAATAACCTCAGACAGCTCCACATACCCTGAACCTGACAGGTAATCCTTTAATCCCTTCTCATCCATTTTGCAGTGTTACTGCAACCACCTTAAATTTCAAGGTTTATTTTTATTTATTTACTAATTAGATTTGCCTTCACTTTTCATATTCACTCTTTCAAAGGCTGGATATCATACACACTTACTTAAGCCTATAAATGGACCACAATCGTACAACGGCTTTCGCCACAGGAAGCAGTCGGAACACCTTTAAGAGCTGCATGATCCTACAATCTGTCCTTTGGTTGAGATCAAAATCACCAGATATGGTCAGATAAAATAGCTCCAGCTAGAAAATGAACATCATGAAATGTACTGAGTGGTGTACTTCAACCGCTATTATCGTATAAAGCACTCTGACACCCCATTTAGAGTTGGCTGGGTCCTGCGTTTCACAATTGTATTGACCCTTTCACCTCAGAAATCTGAAATGTTAACCCTGTAGTACTTAGTTTGTCCATATGGTTCATCAGATAGTAGATTCAGAACTACCTGCAGACCTGGCAGACTAAACGTGGGCGGACAAAACAGATAGCCACTGACCATTGGTGCTCACCCCTGCCCTGACTCAGTTCCACAGATAGCCAACTTTCAGAGAAATAAATCACAGGATATCTCTGGAGCAGATGTAGGAGAAGGCAGGACCAGAATATAAATACTGTAGAAAAATATGTGTTAAAAATACAAAGATAGCTAAATTAAATACAGAGCAAACACATTTACAGATCATGATCTCAGTATGCTAATTGGTAGGTGCAGGACAACAACAACAACTTGCATTTATATAGTGCCCCTCACACTGGGTAGCGTCCCTGAGTTAACACACACAATTCATCTGTGGAAATGTGCATAAGCAGAATTTAACTAAATGTTATAATCTAATATTACTAAAGGAAATTTCTACTGTTGGTCAATTCAAGTGAAAGAATGGGAATTCCCGACATAGCACATAAGGGCAAATATCACCAACTCTGATCAGACACTTCCTCTTCTATTAACATCATAATTGCATTCAACCAAACTGCAACCCAGGTTTTAGGTAGGTAACTTACCGCTCCAGTTTTTGGCCATCTTGAACATGTTTGCAGCTCTGGCAAACATCTCACAGGCCTCTTCTACTCTTGAGTTTCCTCTGTTGTAAAACACAATAATGAAAACGTGCTGAACAGTTATCATTTATATTGATTTTTCTTCCTTCTCCAAACCCGCCTCGTCTTCTCAAATGTGTTCTTAAATCACAGCCCATAATCAGCAGAGGAAGTGGAAAAAATGAGGGACATTAGGGGTTAAACACACCACCTCAACCGCTCCCTTTGCTACAAAGCACTCCATTTTGCAGCCTTGTTTGCAAGATGCAACTCGGCATCTCGAGTCTCTTGTAGAGTCTACAGGAGCTCACTTTGCTGCTCAAAATTTAACATAGGCACATCACACATTGCAGGAACTAGGTAGATATCTGAAAGGGATTGAACCACAGGGGAAAGTGCAGGTCAATGGGCCTGAAAGGATTGCTTTGTGAAAGAGCCAGCACAGACACAATGGGCCAAATGGCCTTATGTGCTGTTATTTAGAGTTCCACTCTCAGATCCATCAAGGAAGCAGAACAAGAGGACACGGATGACTGTGAAATGCAAGTTTAGAGCAAACACCAGGATGAATTTCTGAACACAGTGGATAATTAGCAACTGGAACAGGTTACCAGGAACGGGAATAACACTGAACTCCTTTAAGAAACAATATACAAAAAGGTAGGTTGGGTATTTCGAAAGGAGATCAAATGGGTTCAAGATCTTTCTTCATCTTTACCTCTCCTGTGATCTTGCATGCTCATCCAATTTTCAACACTAATAGCTTCAGGCTGGCATGTACTTTAGCTCTACCCTGATTTTATGCCACCCACTGTGAGCTTATTTCTAAAACATTTACTGTCTGCAGATGTTGAAGCAAACTCAGGGACAGAATGTGGTAGATTATTACACTGCACTTAATATTCCACCTTATGGACGAGGAGAATTGGAGGCTTGATTATTTTTTAAAAAAACACACCTACAGAACCTTTAATTACTTGCAACTCAAAACCCTTTAGGATGCAAAAATGCAGAATTAGATACCTCAATATTCTATGGTAGAATAAGTTCTCGACTCTCTTCCCCCTCCTCGCTCCCTCCCTTCCCTCCCCTCACCCTGACCATTTCCCCCCCTCCTTGCTCCCTCCCTTCCCTCCCCTCACCCTGACCATTTCCCCCCTCCTCGCTCCCTCCCTTCCCTCCCCTCACCCTGACCATTTCCCCCCTCCTCGCTCCCTCCCTTCCCTCCCCTCACCCTGACCATTTCCCCCCTGCTCGGGTCATGACCCAACTGTGCAGCGCCTTGGGACGTCCTCCTGACGTGAAAGGCGCTTTATAAATGGAATCTTGTTGTTGTTGTTGATGGTATCTTGCATGTTCTATTTATAAAGATTGTTTACATTCACTGGATCAATGTAAGATGACAATAACACAAGATCACTTAAACAGATTATTCAAATAAAAGTTCAGTGGGAGCAAATCTGCAGAAAAGCAGATTATGAAAATAATCATCCTTTCTCATAAAATGTCATGGGTGGTATTTGGGCTGAGCTTACTTCATGCCATGTTTTGTTTCTTTCGTAGTGCAGAATTATGGTACATGTTTGCAGTTGGCTTGAACTGTTGAAAGATCTCTTCAGAATCAAAGTTTAACTTATTGATCTTCAAAGCTTGTGAAAAAGGAGGGAATGAGTTTCACTTTTACTTTAAGGGCATAAGAAAGAGGCCATTTTCCCATCACCCTCACTTCTTCCGCAGACCACAAACCTCAACCACTCTACCTCTTGAGCAAAAGCTCTGTATAGATAATCCCTCAACCCCAAATGCAATCAAGCAAAATATACAGAGAATATTTATCTACCCCACATCTCCGCTCATCAAACCTCGTCTCCATCCTTCCCTGTCCTTAATGGAGGGTGCCCAAAGCTTCACACAATATTTCAAAGACCAACTTAAACTCTCATAACTATTGGCTATTGAAATATTTCAAAACAACAACTTGCACTTATAGAGCGCCTTCCACGCAGCGTAGAGTCAGCCAAAGAGGAAAGTTTTCAGGCGGGACTTGAAAAGGGGGAGAGAGGGGGCAAGGTGGAGGGATTGAGGGTGACCGTTCCAGAGTTTCGGGGCATAGTGGCTGAAAATATTTAAATATTTCAATGAATATTTCACATAGTGAAATAAGACCTCTGTCTTATTTCAATATGTGAAATGAGGTCTGTGGTGGGGGAGGGGGGCAAGTGGTGGTGCCAGACAACTGGTACTGAGTTTTTTTTGTTTCATTTCAGAGCTCAAATAAATCATTTAAAGCAGTTAACAGTTTCTGTTTATGTGAAAGAAGAATCAAATTAATAGACAAGGCAAATACTGTACTACCATCAAATTAATTGGAAGCAATCCTGTGATTACCAGATCCGAAAATTAATCTAAAATTCATGCAGGTATTCTGTTACACACTGACTGCAGTGGGTGGCCACAATGTCATATATACATTGTGAAATTTGATGCTACTTTTACAATTTAATGTCTCACTGGATTTTAAAATAAAACATTTAAGTTTTGAGATGCAGACTCTGCTTTAAAATTACTGCTTGACCTGAAAATCCTTAGAAAATCTCAACAAAATAAACATTCTCTACAAATGGGATCCCAGGGTTGTAGAAATGATTATATCTGATCATACCTGACCACACAGATTAGGATATAGTGCCTCCACAAAATGATCAATCAATATCTAATAGTCTGAAAATTAATTTAACTATTTAATTAAATCAATTAATATTAATAATCCCTGCATTCGATATAGCACCTTATCACATTGTTGAGACTGCTCGAAGCACTTCACTGTAACGTGTAGTAACTGTATGTTGTAAGCAAACGTGGCAAAGCAATGCCCCACAAACATCTGTGAAGCAATTACTCTTTTTAAAAATAATTTGATGTAGTCCTATTTTAAAATTGTTGCCTAAACTGTAGTTTGTTTGGAAAATTACTGGGAAGTTACTGGGAAAACTAATATTGACATTTTTGCTTAAAATTGTACAGGTCATAGAGTACAGTAATTACCAGTTGTGCTTTATTTTAACCTCCACATCTAATTTTATACCCATTCGTGTAGAACAGCAGAATATTATGCCCATTAGTGTAGAGGGATGGAGCATTGGGGCACTGGATTGGAGAGGTTCGTTTCTGGCTGATTACCAAATCATTTTGGCCGAGTCTCACTGTGGCGACAAAAGCACAATTTAACATTCAAGTCTACAACAGGAATTTAAATATATCCAAACACAAAACAGAGAAAGAACAAAGACCACAACACACTCGGACCTGCAGGTGCATTCAAACAAAAACTTGCCTGACACCTGTTCACCACCCAAACCAAGAAATATTCTTCATGTTACAAATGAGCCATTGACAGTACCACATTGTTGCAGAAGATTCAACATCCTTCTGTTCGCAGTTGTTGTTTTGCAGCCCTTAAATTAAAGCTGTCAATTTGTCAAGTCAAAGATAGCCCACCACATACATCACACAAAATATATGACACTGTTGAAGTGCATTAATCAGCTTTCAGTGGTGCTAGAAGTGTGCACTTGAAAACAAGCAGTCAATGCACATACTGGTCACGTTTTAGCAATGAAAAGAAATTCCTTTAGAAACATAATGCAGACCCACCAAGGCATCCCTTCCAAATCGTGCTAAAATGTTTCATTCTCTGGGTAAAGCGGAGAATTCAAATTGTTTCTAACCTCAGTAATCTTTTTTTTTAAAAAAACCCACACCACCTAAAGGTTTTTTTTTCTCCCCCCACTCCAAATTTAGAGTTATATTTTCAACAGCACAACCGTTTGCTTATAATATCACAACCTCCGAGAGAGGTGAGGAAGAGCAGACTGCAGTGCTGCAGAGGAGCTGTGTGCAGTTGGGCACTGGCAGTGGAAACGGTGCCCTGATCCTCACAGATGCAGAGATGGACAGCTGTGCTAAAGGCCCATTCCGGTGACACTGGTGCTGCACACACACACACACACACACAGACACACAGTAAGTACCATTCCAGTGACACTGGTGCTGCACACACACATACACAGTAAGTCCCATTGTCGTGACACTGGTGCACACACACACACACACACACATACACACTGTAAGTCCCATTGCAGTGACACTGGTGCACACACACACATACACACACATACACACTGTAAGTCCCATTGCAGTGACACTGGTGCACACACACACATACACACAGTAAGTCCCATTGCAGTGACACTGGTGCACACACACACACACACACACACAGTAAATCCCATCCCAGTGACACTGGTGCACACACACACAGTGAGCCATCTCTGCTGCTGGTCTCCTGCAGCACTGACTGCACAGACAGCGACTGAAACGCAAGGGCAGAAAGAACCCCTTTTCGGGCTTTTGCATCAAACCTTAAAGGAGAACATTCGCTGCAACAACAACAACAACAACAAAAAGGAGAGAGAGAGAGAGAAAGAGAGAGGGAAGAAGAAAAAAAACCCTAAATAAAAGCCAAGCAAAAGGTCATACGATATCAGTCTGGATGCCCAGCAAACTGACGGCACCTCAAAGGATCCCAATCTCCTCTCGTTAAAAAAAAATCTTATTATTACTGAAGCAGGAAATCAGCTGCTCTGTGGATTACATTTATACTGATATGACAACAACTCCCTCCTCCCCCCCCCTCCCCACCCCCCCGCTCCCCACCCCCACCCCTCCCCCACCCCCACCCCCAGACTCCAGGGGGAAGATGGCAGTCAGCACTGCAGCATCGCCGTCGAAAGGTGGTACTTGGCAGAATAATTGCAATGTTAAAGATTGCTTCTCTCTCTCTCTCTCTCTAAAAAAAATACTTAAGCTCGTGAGATCATTTGGTATTTTAGACAGACAGAGGAGAGACAGAGAGAGAGGGGGTGGGGGGATGGATGGAGGGGGGATGGATGGAGGGGATGGATGGAGGGGGGATGGAGGGGATGGATGGAGGGGATGGATGGAGGGCGGATGGAGGGGATGGATGGAGGGATGGAGGGATGGATGGAGGGATGGATGGAGGGGGGATGGATGGAGGGGGGGATGGATGGAGGGGATGATATTGCTGATATTTAACCTGACAGTGCAATACTGAGAGCCCAGGGCTGTGCATCACCAGAGGGGATGGTATCCTCTCCCCCCCCCCTCCCCCTCCCCCTCCCCACGGGCTGCTGCTCTTACCCGAACAAGCCCCCCAGGAACGAATGCGACGATTTCACCTTCTTTTCGGCTTCAGCCATCAGCTGCATGGCTTCTTTTTCCTTCCCGGAGTTGTCCATGGCGATTCAATGTACTGCCTGGGGGGTTTTTTTTTGTGTGTGTGTGTCCTCTCCCTCTCTGTGTGTGTGTGTCTCTCTCTCTCTCTCTAACACACCAGCAAATGACCCCTCGGCGTAAGCAACTCCTCGCCGTGTCTGAGAGCAGATGTGCGTTGCAGCCAATCCTCCCCCTCACTGCTGCACTCACTCAGTCACTCAGTCAGTCTGTCACTCAAGTCGGTCTATCAGCTGCTCAGCGCAGCTCCAGCCTCTCCCGCACAGGCCTCTGGGTCTTGTAGTCCTCCCGTGGTGCCCCGCGGCCTACCCCCCCAGTGTTCAGCTCCACCGCCAAGACTACATTTCCCAGAAGCCCCCGGCGGGAAGGCCAGCCGGCCCCGCCCCCTCTGGGCGTTCTGTGTCTCAGGGCGGTGGGGGTGGATGGAGGGGGTGTGTGGGGGGGGGGGGTGGAGGTGATTATTATTTGCAAAGAGATGGGAACATTTGGGCTAACGGTCCCCCAGATTAAGCAATTAAGCTGTGAAGCGTTTTTGACATCATAGGTACTATAGGGCAAACCTGTTATGTTGCAGTCACCCGGGTCCTATAATAGTGATAATAATCCTTATGTTTGATATAGTGCCTCATCGCGTCGTTGAGACGTCTCAAAGTGCTTCACAGGATGCACTGTAAATTGGATTGACTGTATTTTGTGGCCGAAATGCAGCAGCCAATTGCACGCAGCAGTGTCCCATAAACAGCCATGGAGTGAGTGATCAATATCTCAGCTCTGCATTATCAGCCTTGGCGTAAAAATGGGGGCTTCCTTTGCAAAGTGATCTCAGTGATGCTTCCTGCACACAGCATGCAGGAAGTGACGTTAGTGGTCACCCGATGACCCAGAAGTTAACCTTTTTTTTAGCATGGGGAGCAAGCTGGTCAGTGCCTGTTGCCAGTTTTATTATGCTTCCAGTTAGTGCATGTGTGTCCACAGTAGATGCATACTCTAACAACCGTTTTGGAAATCCATTGCGAAGAGTGATTTTCCTAAATTGCATGACCATGCTCTTCGATACTTGTCCAGATTTGGATCAACCTACACCTGTGAGCAATCCTTTTCCACCATGAACTCCAATGCCGTTCCAAACTAACAGATGATCACTTTAATAATCTTCTATTGGCATGCTCAAAACTGAATGCAAAAATATTGAATACTGAATATTGAAGATATCATGAACAAAAAACAAATTCAGAAACCTCATTCAGTAACTTGTTTGATATTTTATTGTGAATTTCTTAATAAATGCATCTTTCTTTTCCAGTAATAATTTTCTTTTAAATGTTTTTGTAAAATGGCAATATGTCTTGGACTCATACTGTGCCACACCTGAGCAAAAGGTTGGCCACCACCGCTTTACAGTGCACCCTGAGATGTCCTCCCCATGTGAAAAGCTAGACTAAATGTAAGGATTATTATTATTAATACAGCAACAACTTGCATTTATATAGCGCCATTCACGCAGGGTAGCGTCCCGGAGTCTTTGACAGTGACAGAGCGTGACCCGAGTCAGAGGGAGAGGAAGGTGACCGCAAGCACGATCAAATAGGAAGGTCTTTAGGTGGGATTTGAAAGTGGGGAGGACAGTGTAATATATTGCACTTATCACGTTAGGAGGATGTCTCAAAATGTTTCACGGGATTTCACTGTAAAGTGTACAGATTGTGGTTTTTGCATTCAAATCAGCAATGCACAGTGCTATTTTTTACGTATAATTACAGGTTTATTTATCACGGTGAGTTCTTCCACTCTCTGTAGGTGAGTAAAGTGAAGCAAAACAAGGAAGTTCAAGTCAACAACAACAACAACAACAACTTAGATTTGTATAGCACCCTCCACGCCGACGGCATCCCAGAGCGCTTTAGAGTAAACGGATCCCGGGGCCGAGCCGGGGGGAGGGGGGGGGGAGGTGACCAAAGGTGCGGTCGAAAAGAAAGGTCTTCAGCAGAGACCTGAAAATGGAAGGGAGGGAGCGAGGCGAAGGGAGTGAAGAAGGCAGTTCCAGAGCCTTGGGGCAGAGTGGCTGAAGGCACGGCCGCCGATGGTGGAGCGGAGGACTTGGGGGACGAGGAGGAGGCCAGACCCGGAGAAACGAAGGCAATGGGTACTGTTTTGAGGAGAGAGGTCAGAGAGATAGGGGGGTGCAGAGGAGTGCAGGGACTTGAATACGAGGGTGAGGATTTTGAAATCGATCCTCTCTGGGAAAGGCAGCCAGTTCACTATGAAGATACCAATGAACTATCACTTGATTATCACCATTAAAGAAAAGATCCAGTGAAGAAGGAGAGGTGGATATTTTTATTGGAATGCAGTACTAATGCACACAAAGATGTTTTTATCAGTTTTCACTAGATTCGTTAAAATATTGATGCCAATCACTTTGGAACAACACTATTTAGTTAGGCTCAATTGGTCTCTTCAACTTGCTTCCACAACTTCCAGCATAAATCTTTAACCGTAAGTAATTAGACTCAGGTGTTATGTCAATCAACATGCTTTCTCCAACCTTGAGTTTGGAAAATTACCATGTATATTTGTGTTGTTGAAGGTTTTCAAATGGAAATAATACATATATTTCATGATTCACTGAAATCCTGTTTTTTTCTAAATAGCTGCAGTATAATTAGACAAAGTGACCTTTTACTGAAATTATTGATTGTTTATGACCCAGTTGGAAGTCTTGAGCATATTGTGCCTTAGTGATATTTGTTTTGGTCACTCTAATCTGCAAAAAATAATGTTGCTTAAACAAGGGAGAAGCCATGTGGAAGAGAGTAATAAACCCAAAAAGTCAGAACATAAAGGAATCATTTATGAAGGGAAAGTCCTCCTTTACACTTACAAACCAGGAAAGGTGGATCAATGAATTGCGTCAGTGTTTTGGCTAAACTATCAATCACCCACAAAGTGAAAATATGTCTATTTTCAAATTACTGATTACAGTCAAAAGTTGCCTTAATGACTGATTGTGACTGATCCCCCAGAGGATCGATTTCAAGATCCTCATCCTCACCTACAAGGCCATTCACGGCTTTGCTCCCTCCTACCTCTCTGACTACTATCCCCCTACCTACCTGCCCGTATCCTCCATTCCTCTGGCTCCGGTCTGCTCCACATCCCCCGTCCCAACCGCCCTACCATCGGTGGTCGGGCCTTCAGCCTCTCAGCCCTGAGGCTCTGGAACTCTATCCCCCAGTGCCTTCGCCGCCTCCTCCCTTTCCTCCTTCATGGCCGGTCTCAAGACCTTTCTCTTTGACCGAGCCTTCAGCTCCCCTCTCGACTCTCTACCCCCTCCTCGCTCCCTCCCTTCCCTCCCCTCACCCTGACCGTTACCCCCCTGCTCGGGTCCTGACCCAACTGTACAGCGGCTTGGGACGTCCTCCCGACATGAAAGACGCTCTATAAATGGAATCTTGTTGTTGTTGAACAATTTTAAATATTACGCAAGAACGTCCTAGCACTTAATAAAATTGGAGAGCTTGAATATTCATAAGGCAACATGCCAGATGGAAAATATCCAATAACACTCGGGAAATGGAGTCTATGTTAGAGGTAATATGACTCAAACGTGTCACCTTATTAAATACAGGGAGAGTACCAGAGAAGTGAAGATTTGATTTTACAAAAAAAGTAGAAGCAGAATGTATTTCAACGTGACGTAAATACAGCACGAACTTCAAAGTTCTTACCTCCTGCTTTTGAAATGTAGATGCTTTTAATAAGAAGCAGGATCTAGGGAACAAAATCGCCTGCAAAATACACAGTCACTACATTTTACAATAAATTCTGTGGAGCCTTATGAGACATCTGCCTGACGAGAAAGGTGCCACATCAGAAGCAAGAATCATGATGATTATTACTATGGTCTAGGTTCAACAACTTTAGAAGGAAAAACATTTGAATGTATTTCTAAAGGATATAATTCAAGTAAATTTAATAATAGTAAAGACAATCATTTCAATCTCAGGTTTATGAAAGACATAACTAACAAACTCAATGAAATTTACAGTGATATTACTGTTAGTGACTTTAAAAAGGTATTTAGCAAGTTAATTTTTATATTATAATAAGTTAAAGCACTAGGAGTAAAATGCTTGAGAAATTAGTATATTGGTTGTATATATTAGTATACTGGTTACTATAATGAGTATATAACGTAAAGGGCAGTGAAAAATGAGTGAAAATATAATTGGAGAGCTGGTGACTCGAGAAGTGACTTGGTAATCAGTCACAGGAAAGGTTTAATTCATAATATTGATAGATGATCCTGAAAAAGACATGAAAAAAATATTAAAGATGTATCATGCGTAAGTCTGCCTAAGACTATATTCATATCGAATAGTAAAATATTTTGGAGAAAAGGGGATTGAAACCAATAAAGAGCAGGGTTTCTGCAGCTCCTTCCCATAAATAATCATAAAAAGCGTCTAATATAACCTGCCATATGCATCCTCCCATACGCATGTTAAAAACTTGCTAGTTGACACATTTTTAAACTGCCAATCAACACAAAGTGACTCATGCCTGTAAAATATTGCTTGAGTTGTAGGACTGAGGAAATCACATTAATAGATAAAATGATTCTAACCACTTCATACTCAGTCACCAGTCCCTATCTCAGTTGGACAAATGTCTCCATATTAATGACAAGAACACACACACAGTATATCTAATCTATAAAAAAACTCTAAATATATGAAACATTTATTGCAGTACAGATATCCCCATTGAGATATTCTAAAGACCAGATCCTAAAGCTTATAGATTCCAATATTAAATGCAATATTTTCTGGAGGTCAACCGATTGTTTCCCTCAAAGATTATATAATAGGCCATCACGGGATAAAACAGGTCAAGGACCTTTAATCACAACATCAACTAAAGGAACATCTGCTCACAATGTGTGACCCATTGAGTCCCACAGGCAATAAAGCAGTGGGGGCCAACCTATGACTCGCGAGTGGGAAACGGACCATCAAGAATTGTCCCACAGAACATTCGCACTAGTCTAGGGGAGTCTGTTTAAAGCAATAGTCTGTTTCCAGCTTTTCTTGATTGAATAGTTCTTGAGTTATGGCATAAATCAAAAAATATTAAATCAAGAAAATTTATTTTGTTGGTCGACGAAAAACGTTGGCCACTACTTCAATAGAGGGCTGATACATCCAAGGCCAGAGCTATGCTCTTATATGAAAGGGACGTGGTTTGGCTCAGTAT